AAACAAAAAAATACAGACTCAAATGGAAACTTAACAATTAAATCTTAAATAATTAGTAGTTTAAAAAATAATCACAGAAACAACAATTATGTAAAAGAAAATGAAAATGATGAAACAACACACCAAAATTCCTAGGATACAACAAGCAATCCTCAGGGGGAAATCATATCCTTATAAACATAGACTAACAAAACAGAAATGAGGATTAATGAACTGAATACACATTTAAAAAAGTTAGATCGCTAACAAATAACCCAATCCCAGAAAAGGAAATAGATCTGGTTGCAAAGGAACTATAAAAGAAAAAAATTCCTAGTTCTTAGGGATTCATAGGAGAATTCTAGAAAACTTTGAAAGAATAGTTACAACCCATATTCCACAAATTATTCTCAAAATTTTAGAGAGAAAGTATCTTGCCAGAATCCTTTTATAGGATAGGTGAAGTTTTAATACCTAAACCAGGGAAGATAAAACACGGAAAGAAAACTATAGGCCTATATCATTTATGAACACTGATCAAAAATTTTAAACAAAATCCCATCAAATGGATTACGGCAATTTATCCAAGAAATCATTCATTATGACCAAGGGGAATTTATACTAGGGATGAATGGTGCAACATTAGGAAAACAATCAACATAATCACATGTAAACTCAAAACATACAAAACCACATGACTATCTTATTACAGAAAAAGTCTTTGAAAAAATACAACACTCTTTTATGCTAAAAACTACAAAGTACAGGCATAAAGGGACCTTTTTAAAAAGCAATCATCATATGCAATGGGGACACACTAGAACCTTTTCCAATAAATACAGGAGTAAAACAAGGATACTCATTCTTCCCACTATGATTTGATAGGATTCTAGAAATGCTGGCAACAGCAATAATTCAATTCAATAAACATTTATTACATGCCTAGTAAGTGCCAGGCATTGTGCTAACCACTAGGGATATAAAAAGAGGCAAAAGACAGTCCTTGCACTCAAGGGCTTACAATCTAATGGGGGAGACAAATGCAAACAAACATATATAAAGCAAGCTGTACACCAGAAAAATAGAAGGAATTGAGAGAGAAAGCATGGAAATTAAGAGGGGTTAGGGAAGGCTTCCTGTAGAAGGTAGGATTTTTGATGGGACTTAAAGGAAGCCAGGAAGGTCAGTAGTCTGAGGAAAGGAGGGAGAGCAAAAAGACAACAGAAAGATATTAAAGGCAAAAAGATATGTAAAGGGGAGACAAAACCATGCTTATTTGTATCCCTCAAACTTAGCACTGGATGGTGCAGTAGACAGAGTGCAGGGCTTGGAGTCAGGGAGACCCGAGTCAAATCTGGCCTCGGACACTTCCTAGCATGTGGCATAATTAACCTCTGGACAAGACATCCTAGAAATTCAGGGCTGTCACGAGGACTAAATGAGAGAACCTATATAAAGAGATGTGTGAACCATAAAATGCTAGCTATTTTTATTATGGTTACTATATAATCAGTGCCATTGGGAAGCAGTGGTTATCTCAGAAGGGCAAAAATGTCCTGAGAATGGCATTGACAGAATGCACTGTTATCTTGGGGAACAAAGAGGAGAAGCAATAAAGAACTATACGTTAAGAACCTACTATGTGCCTGGCTGGTGGATACAAGAATAAAGAATGAAACAATGTCTATGTGCAACAAGCCAGTATTCTTCTTTTTAATGTGTGTGAACACCTATTTTTAAGGAACTTCCAATTTTTAAAAATAATATTCCCCCCAATTACATGTAAAGACAATTTTTAACATTGTCATTTTTTAAGTTTTGAGTTTCAAATTCTATCCCTGCCTCCCCTCTCCCTGAGATGGTGAGCAGTCTGATACAGGGTACACATGCACAATCACTTAACACCTTTTGTGCAAGATGACTCAAACCACAACCACAACAAAAGAACAAGAGGAAAAACGTGTAAAACAGCGTGCTCCAGTCTGTGTTCAGACATCAGCTCTTTCTGTGGCAGCTGATATCATTTTTCATTACGAATCTTTTGGGATTGTCTTGGACCACTGCATTGCTGTGAAGAGTTAAGTCATTCACAGTTCATTACACAACACTGCTGTGTACAGTGTTGTCCTGGATCTGCTCACTTCACTCTGCATCAGTTTGTATCAGTCTTTCCAGGTTTTTCTGAAATCTGCCTACTCATCATTTCTTACAGCACAATAGTATTCCATTGCATTCATATACCATAACTTGTTCAGCTATCTCCCAATTGATGGACATCCTCTCAATTTCCAATTCTTTGTCACCACAAAAAGAGCTTCTATAAATATTTTTATACAGCTAGGTCTTTTTCCCCTCTTTTTTTTTTTTTGTTAATCTCTTTGGGATACAGACCTAGTGGCAGTATTGCTGGGTCAAAGAGTATGCACAGTTTTGTAGCCCTTTGGGCATAGTTCCAAATTGCTCTCCATAATGGTTGGATCAGTTCACAATACCACCAACAGTATGTTAGTGTCCCAGTTTTCCCACATCCCCTCCAACATTAACCATTTTCCTTTTAACAAAATTATATTCTAATGGAAAAGGGGGTTCCCTTTTGTAGAAGACAGAAGGAGAAGACCTGCTGCACTTCTGAGAAGCAAATTTGCAAGGTTACCTGTGGGTGCATTTCAAAGAGAATTATACACCCAGGGGGAGCCAAAAGGATGAAGATAATCACCCTTAATACAAGTGTCTTCTGCTCAGGAAAAGGTCTCCTGCCATGGGATGCAGAAGACAATGAGTAACTACCATGCCAATGATAATACAGGCTTGATCTGGGGTCACTTAGACTTAACTTCTCTAAGTGGAAATTCATAAATCAATCAGCAATGCCTTGGGCCATGAGGTGGTCATGCTGTCAAAGTAAGGCCCTGGCTGACACAAAGAAATCCATCTTACAGATGGGCAAACTGAGGCTTAGGAAAGTTATTTCTAGCCCTGGCTCTCTGCTCTTACTTTGCAAGGCAATCTGGGGCCAGGCACTAGACCTTCTTTGCTGATGATCCCATGTTTCAGTTAGCTGGTTCTGTTTTTAAAAGGGGTCACTCCAATATTTATTGACCACTTTTGCACCACAACTCTGAGGTGGAGAGGCAGGTTTAGGTTGGACAAAAGGAAGTGACACCCTGGAAATGGGAGCTGCCCAGAGTGTCCCACCCCACAAAAGACTTTCAACTGAAGGCCAGATAGTAGGGCTGCTGAGAATACTGAGGCAAGGGTTCTAAAGGAGTACAAGATGGCTTGTGTTATTCTTTCCAAGCCTAATATTCTGTTATCTGACACACGTGGCACAGATAGGCTTAGCCCCATTTTATGGATGAAGAAATGGAGGCTTAGAGAATTAAGTGAATACATTCTCAACCTCAAATCTGGCTTCTTCTTTCCCTTTCTGCCTGCCTAAAAGTCTAGTCAAAGCATCACAGATTTAAGGCTAAGAGGCCTGAAAGGCCACTGAGTCCAAAACCAAAGAATTGTAGAGGAGGAAAGTGAAACAGGCACCCTGAAAATTAGAATGGACCAAATAGAAGCCAATGAGTCCATTAAGTACTAAAACAAAGGCAAACACCTGGAAAAGAGAAGAAATGTAAATCATAGTAAAAATAACTGATCTGAAAAACATGTCTAGAAGAGATACTTCGTAAGAAATCATTGGACTATTGGAAAGCCATGACCAAAAAACCCCCAAAAAACCAGCCTTGACATTATATTTCATGAAATCTTATAAGAAAACTACTCAGGTCTCTAAGAATCAGAGAACCACGTGGAAGAAAAAGAATTTCTCATTCTCCTGCTGAAATAGACCCCCAAGTGAAATATCCGGGAACATTGTAGCCAGAATGCTGAGCTTCCACGTCAAAGGGAAAAATGGTGACAAGCAGTCAGAAAGGAAGAGCTAAAGGCCCAGGGACATAGTCAGGATCACATAAGATTAAGCAGCTACTACTTTAAGAGAGCTGGAAATGATAAAACAACAATGACAATAATAGTAAATAGCATTTTTATAGCACTTTAAAATTTTCCAACTGTTTAACACATTATCCCATTTTCCCCACAACAACTCTGGGAGGTAGGTGCTATTATTGTACCCATTTTACAGTTGAGAATACTGAGGCAGGCAGAGGTTAAGTGACTTGTCCAAGGTAACACAGCTGGTAAGTGTCTGAGGCCAAATTTGAACTTGGGTGGTCTTGACTTGAGGATGAGTGCTCTAGCCAGCATACCACCTAGTTATCCCCCCAGAAAGCAAAAACTATAGACATACAGCCAAGAATAATCCACCCAGAAAAATTGAGTATAATCCTACAAGGGGGAAAAGGACTTTCCAAAAGACTTCCCAGCATTCCTGATGAAAAGACCAGAGACACATGGGACACTTTGATGTACAAACCCAGGAGGTGAGAGACAGAGGGAATAGTCATAAGGGATTAACTGAGGATAAACTGTTTTCATTCTAACGTGGGGAGATAATACACATGTCCCTTTGCTTTATCATCATCAGGGATGTGAAGGACTATAAGAAGACAGATATTTTGATGACCTTGGAAGAAAGAAAGGGAGGGGAAGGAGAAGAATGAGGGAAAATATCTTCCATAGCCAGGAGAGGAAGTAAAAGTCTATATAAACAAGGAGGAAGGTGGGGAGTGGGTGATGCTTAAAGCCCACACTCATCTCAGATGACCAAAGGAAGGAAGAATGCACACTCACCAACCTCTGCCCACACGTGCACACATGCACACACACAGAACTCGGCACCAAAATACCTTCCACCCAATAGGAAAATAGGAAGGGAAAGGGAGAAATTAGAAGCAGGGCAGATTAAGGGCAGGGTCAGTCCTAAGCAAAACAAACTATGGATTTAAAATTACTTATAGCAGCTACTTTTGAGGTAGCAAAGAATTGGAAGCTAGGGGAGGGTGCCCATCGATTGGGGGATGGCCAAACATGTGGTTTATGATTGTGATGGAATACTATTGTGTTCTAAGAAAGGACAAGGGGGATGCTGTCAGAAAAACCTGGGAAGACTTAGATGAACTGATGCAGAGGGAGATGAGCAGAAGCAGGACAACGACACTGCAAAGACCAGCAATCTTGAAAGACGTGGGGTTTCTGATTAGGATGGTTTCAGAAGGCTGATGATGAAATAAATACACTGCTCACTTCTAGAGAGAGCTATGGAGCTCAGAGCACACGGAGACCTATTTTTGGATGTGGCCAATAAAAGAATTTGTTTTGTTTGACTGTGTATTTGTTAACAAGAGTGTTGTTTTTCTTTCTTCCCTAATGTGGGCGTGGGAGGGTGAGGAGAGGGAGAAAAGACAGACATTTTTTATAGAAAAAAGTTTTTTAAAGGAGCCTATGAATGAAAAAGAATTCCCTCAACAGCATTCCCAAATAAGTGATCGGGCAATTGTTTGATAAGGGGGAACCCACGACCTCCAAAAGTATCCAAGCCCAGGAGACCTCTGGAGAGCCTCAATTTTTAGCAAGCCTGCCCTGGTATAAAACCTAAATTTGCCCAATTCACACACACACACACCCTCACCCTCCAACCCCCCCCACCCCGCCCCCTACTGGGGCCAAACCAATTCAATCTAATCTCTCTTCCGTACCTGAGGACAGCCAACCAGCCCCACCCCACCTCTTTCCCTTCTCTAAAGACAACCACAAAGTTAATTCTCTTAGTCACGTGTAAGATGAAAGGCAGATGGCCTCCAAGGTACTTATTCCTAAAATCCTCTGATCCTGTGATATTCTCTGAGCTCTAAGCCTGCTTCCACATAAGACACTGGGCTTTGCAACCTCTTTAAAACACTCCATCTTAGCATACAAACAGGAAATTATGCCTCAAGTAAAGCCTTTGAAAACCCAGGAAAGCATGATTTTCCTGGCAGGTCACTGGTCGAATGAGGGAGCGAGATCAGCACCGTCATGGTGGATTCTCCAAGTCCATGCCCGCTGGAACCTCCCTCTGCCTCTGCTGTCCCCCTGACTTACCCTAGAGGCTGCTTGTCCAGAGGAAGGATGGATTGCAGGCATGCAGCCCCTGTAAGCTGCGGATCCCAAGAACCTACAAACAACCCATTTCTGCGCTGGTCTAGCCAAGGATCTACACAGTCTGTTCACCACTCAGGAGTGCCAGACCCGGACCTAGTCAAACCCCGGCTGTCTGGGGGAAAAAGGAAGCTGCCAGTCTTGAGTTCCTGAATACTCTGACAGCAACCACAGGCCCTCCCCCCGCCCCTCCACCTTCATTCTCACTCACAGACCTCAATGTGACCAGATGGTGTTGCAAAACTGGATGGAGGGAGGTCATGACATGAGCCCTGCTTCAGCCTTCTGGAAAGATGACAAAGTGAGTCAAGGACCCAAGCCACCTCAATGCTAATGGTTTGGTGTAGATGGGCCAATGAGGAGACCACCACGCTCCTCCTCTTTTTGTGGGGGGGATACATACATATATATAATTAATATGATATAATATATATATATATATGAGAAACATAACTGAGCTCTGTGTAATTATGCAACTCCCACATAAAATCCCACCTTCTACAGGAAGCCTTCCCCAGCCCCTCTTAATTCCAGGGCCTTCCTTCTGCCGATTTTTTCTGTGGATCCTGCATGTACATGGTTTTGTGTGTATTTGCCTGTATGTTGTCTCTCCCATTATATGATGAGCTCCTCGAGGGCAAGGACTGTCTTTTGCCTCTTTTTGTATCCCCAGAACTCGGCATAGGTCCCAGCACATAGCAGGCACTCAATAAATGTTCATCAAATGAGTGAATAAATGATAACTAACCTTGACGTTGAAGAGTCAAGAAAACACGCCTCTCTCTCACACTTTACTGCACGCACTATAATAATGATAATAACAGCTAACATTTATATGGTACTTACTATGTGCCAGGCATTGTGCTATGTGCTCTCCAATTATTATCTCATTTGATCCTCCCAATAACTCTGGGAGATAGATGCTATTATTATCCCCATATTACAGATGAGGAAACTGAGGCAGAGGTTAGGTGACTTGTCCAGGGTCACACAGCTAATAAGTGTCTAAGGCTAGACTTGAACTCAGGTCTTCCTGATGGCACTCCATCTACTCCTTCAGCTGGCTGGTTTTGCTGGGCTGCCTTCCTTTTTCTTTTAAAATCACTGTGACAAGGGCGAGGACACTGGTGAAGGACTTATTTGTAAACAAATAAGATGTAAAAACAAAAAGCATCGCTCACTTTTTTTTCATTTGAAAAGCAGATGTTCTGACATTCATCTGTATCTTCCTACTGAGTTCTGTCCTTACCACATGGCATTTTCCCCCAGTTAGGGAGTCCTCCATGTCATCTGCAGAATTTGTGTGTGCAGCACTTTCCTAACACTGCAGCTTCACTGAAAATGGGGAGAGGTGAGGAGGAAGCTGGGAAAAGGCAGACTTCTCAGTGAGCGGATCGCAGATGTGAGCTCTATGTATTCCTTACCTGCACAAGGCTTCTCTGCCCAGAACTCCCATCCCCACCCCCAACAAGGACAGTGTACAGGACTCCGTGTTCTTAGACTGTTCTCATGACACCCAGGACAATGAAACAGAGGGACAGACCTTGGCCTGGGAACAGTCTAACCTAACAGCTCAGCATTCCTAATTTAAAATTGATGGCATCATGGGGCAGCTAGATGGTGCAGTGGTTACAGCACCGGTGCTGGAGTCAGGAGGACCTGAGTTCAAATCCGGCCTCAGACACATAACACTTCTAGCTGTGGGACTCTGGGCAAGTCACTTAACCCCAATTGCCTCACTTAAAAAAAAATTGGTGGCATCAATTACAGAAAGAAATGCAATCCCAGTTTTCAGGTGAACACTCAACTTTCCTTCACCATTTCTTGCAAGGTCTGGGAAGATGAAGCATCCCAAGTGCTTTGCTGCAGGCATTGTCACCTTCATATTGATTTTTTAATTAGACTCTTCCTTGACTCTTCTCTGCAGAGAGAACTACCTTGGAGGCAGAGACAGACACAACCCACAAGTGACTGGGCCAGAGCGGTCTTTGGACTAATTAGTGTCGGAGAATTTGGTCGATTGTTCCTGTCTCCTTCAGACAGTCTCAAGGCTGGCCCTGGGCTCTCTTTTCCTCTTGCTCTATACCATTTCACTCAGTGATCAGCTCCCAAGATTTTCGGTGGCATCTCTATGCCGATGGTTCCCAAATGATGAGCTTGGTAAGTAGCTTCAGAGGATCTGTCTCAGAGGAAGCATTTTCTCTCTCAACGCGCCCTAGAAAGCCAGGTCCAGTATAGCAAAGGTAACGGTACTGTTACTGTTCTTCCCTCTCTTCCTGGAGAGATCCATCCCACAAGACACATCTGGAACTTTCTCTTTGTTTTTGTTTTTTTTTTTGGTGGTTCAACAATCTTTTTATTTTGTTTTATTTTAATATACATTTCTTTATTTTTAGTTTTCAACATTTACTTCCACAAGATTTTGAGTTCCAAATTTTCACCCCATCTCGCCCCTTCCCCCACCCCAAGATGGCATGCATTCTGAATACCCCTTGCCCTAGTCTCCCTCTCTTCTATCTTTCCCCCCTTCTCTTATCCCCTACCCCTTCTATTTTTCTGTAGGGCAGGATAGACGTCTGTACCCCATTTCCTGTATTTCTTATTTCCCAGTTGTGTGTGAAAACATTTTTTTTTATACATATGTTTTTAAAACTTTGGGTTCCAAATTTTCTCCCTTCCTCCCTCCCCACCCACCCTCATTGAAAAGGCAAGCAACCCAATACAGGTTATACATGTGCAGTTACGCAAAACACTTCCTTAGTAGACACATTGTGAACACTAATTTCCCTTAACCCTATCGTGCCCCCCCATTTATTCTATTCTTTCTTTTGACCCTGTCCCTCCTCAGAAGTATTTGCTTCTGATTACCCCCTTTCCCAATCTGCCCTCCTCTCTATCATCCCCCTGCTCTCTTGCCCCCCCTATTTTCCTGTAGGGTAAGACAGATTTCCATACCCAACTGAATGTGTATGTTATTCCCTCCTTAAGCCAAATCCTATGAGAATAAGATTCACTCATTCCTTCTTACCATCCCCCATTTCCCCTCCACTGTAAGAGCCTTTTGTTTTGTTTTGTTTTTGGGGGGAGATAATTTACCCCATTCCACCTCTCCCTTTCTTCTTCTCCTAGTATAATGCTCTCTCATCCCTTAATTTTATTCTCCAGATAGGACCCCTTCATCTTTAACTCATCCTGTGCCCTCTATCCTTCTATCTATCTATCTATCTATCTATCTATCTATCTATCTATCTATCTATCTATCTATCTATCTATCTGTCTATCTATCTATCTATCTATCTATCTATCTATCTATCTATATACATACATATAATTTTCCCTCCAACTACCCTAATACTGACAAAGGTCTCATGAGTTATAAATATCATCTTTCCATGCAGGAATGTAAACAGTTCAACCTTAATAAGTCTCTTATGATTTCTCTTTCCTGTTTACCTCTTCATGTTCCACTTGAGTCTTGTATTTGAAAGTCAAATTTTCTATTCAGCTCTGGTCTTTTCATCAAGAATGCTTGAAAGTCCTCTATTTCACTGAATGACCATTTTTTCCCCTGAAGGATTATACTCAGTTTTGCTGGGTAGGTGATTCTTGGTTGTAATCCTATCTCCTTTGCCCTCCAGAATATTATATTCCATGCCCTGCTGTCCTTTAATGTAGAAGCTGCTAAATCTTGTGTTATCCTGATTGTGTTTCCACAATACTTGAATTGTTTCTTTCTGGCAGCTTGTAATATTTTCTCCTTGACCTGGGAACTCTGGAATTTGGCTACAATATTCCTAGGAGTTTTCCTTTGGGGATCTCTTTCAGGAGGAGATCGTGGATTCTTTCAATTTCTATTTTGCCCTCTGGTTCTAAAATATCAGGGCAGTTTTCCTTGATAATTTCTTGAAAGATGATGTCTAGGCTCTTTTTTGATCATGGCTTTCAGATAGTCCAAATTTTTAAATTCTCTCTCCTGGATCTATTTTCCAGGTCAGTTGTTTTTCCAATGAGATATTTCACATTGTCTTCCAATTTTTCATTCTTTTGGATTTGTTTTACAGTGTCTTGATTTCTCATAAAGTCACTAGCTTCCAATTGCTCTATTCTAATTTTTAAGGAAGTATTTTCTTCAGTAAGCTTTTGGAC